TCACGGAAATTGTACGTTTTTCTTTAACTTTGATATCCATCTTCACCACGAAGACAAGTTCAGAGGTCAAATTTTTTTTTTTCAAATTAAAGTATATTATATTAAATTAAATTTAAGATATATATAAAAGTGTCAGTCTTTCACATTTTCAAAAGTTAAGTTGAAAAAGTTCTACTTTCTATACGCATTTTAAAAGGTTTGTATCCCCCCTGTATAAAGGGAAATGTCCGATTTTAAAAAAAAGTATGTCGAATGAAAGAGGTATATATAAAGTATTTATTATTAAAAAATAGAATTGATTCGTGCATTTTTTAAAAAGTTATAGCATCATAATGTTCAAAAATGTAAAATATAATATCAAGAATTTTTTCAAAAAAATAGCATATTTTTGCATACAGTAGTCATTTTTACCATGAAGACAAGTCCAGAGGTCAATTTTTTTTTTAAATTAAAGTGTATTACATTAACTTTAATTTAAGATATATATAAAAGTGTCACTCTTTCCGGAACATTTTCAAAAGTTAAGTTGAAAAAGTTAATTTTTTGTAAAAAAGTTACTATTTTGAAAGCCTTCCTTCCTGTGGACTGTTAAAGGGTCAAATGTTCACAAAAATATATGAAATGATAGGTAAACATTTAAAGTATCTATAAAAAAAAAATTATATTGATTCGGTCATTTTTAAAAAAGTTATGGCATTTTTAAGTAAAAAAAAAATGAAAAAATATCGTAAATTACCGATTTTTAAATTTGTAATTTTTTGGGGGATTTCCCCCGTTTACGGGGAACAACGGAATTTTATTCAATTTTTAGGGTAATGTCTTCGACTAGATACGATTTGTGATCTTTTGACATATTGTTCATCAAAATCGGTCCAGTGAGAGCTAAGATTGAGCGTTCACAGACAAAAAAAAAAAAACACATCATAGTAAAATTAATTCCTTCTCAGATTCCCATCAAAGCTAAAAAATATTACATGTTTTATAAAATAACACTTTGTAATAACGCAAGTGTGTTTTTTTTGTTGTCATTGTAAAATATTTTATTTTATAATAGTATAAATTGGAGTGAATCGATTTGATGAATTATTCCGATATCTCATACGCAAGTTATACCTAAAAAACATAATTTAAATAATAAATATTAAATACTTTAAAAATTTATTTATATTATTTTGAGGGAGTGATAGCAAAAGTGTTGTAAGTCTTTTTTAATAATTTTATTAGATAGTCATTTAAAATTTTTTTTCCCCATAAGAACCAATACAAATATAAATTTTTAAAATACAAAAATTTTGTTTCATTACATTATTTTATTGCTAATGTTTATACAAAAAAATGTGAAATTTGAATATATTTATATTCAGATCAAACTCATTTTACCCAAAAATTGACATGTACTATTTTCGCTCAAGTACACATAATTTGATTCATTTTTATAACTCCTTATATTGCTGATTTTACCAATTTGTAAAAGTTAATATTGTAAAAGTTGAACATCATAAATCACAAAATCTTAATTTGTTCATAAGTTTTCAAAAAAGTTCTTTACGATTACGTGTACATTAGATTAAACATGTATTTAGTTATGTATTCGGGAAATCATGTATTGTAAAAATGATGCATGTCAAGAGTTTACAAATGCATTCTATATACTTTAAATAGTACATTTACCTATTTTTAACTTTAATTATATAGATATATGTATTTTTTTTTCATTCTTTTGTATAAATATAAATTAAAATTATACCGTGTTGGTTTTTACTTTTATTTCGGGTAAGGGGCAATTTTGGGTCTACTATCGGTTCAAAAAAATCGATAGCCGCTCTTCCCATATGGTCAATAATATCGATCGATATTCAATATTAGTTTGTACCAATATTCTTCCTATGTTTTGGTTACTACTACTGTATTTAAAATTAATGATGGTAAAGCAGATAAATAACATTTATCTTGTGGCTTGTGCTTCATTTAGTAATTGTGCCTCATGTGGTCTTAAATTAATAATTAAAGACCGGATTCTCTTAAAATAACTGAACTATAATGCTAATTTTCTTTAAAAAATAAAAAGTATTCTCCAAATAATTTTTGACTTAATTTTTATAAAGCAAAAATATATATTATTTAAATAAAAATATGTAATTCATACATTTATAAAAATATGCAAAATTAATAAATTTATGCTTTAAGTTGTAATTTTTCAGTTGTATACATAGGCTCCAACTAAAATTACAGGCTCAACAAAAATCAATTGCAATTTTATGCAACCGTTTATATGAAATAAGAATAAAAAAAAAAAATGAGTTACTTTATCTTAAACCTGAAGGATCTTGATAATAAAAATAAAAGCACAATGTTTATAATTTGAATAGTTAGTTTTTATACAAACTAATCAGAAAAAATCTATTTTTAAATATTTTTTGTAGTTAAAAAATTTTACAACAAAAAAAATTAGTCAATTAAAAAAAGTGCTGACTCATCAAAATTTATGAAAAATATCCTCCCTAGAAAAATGTATAGGACCACTTATTGTTATATATATTTATAATTCTAAATTAGTCTGTAAAAATGATTGAAGATGATATTTTAAAAACTAAATTTATGAGTAAATTTTGTAATTGTAGACTGTAAGTACAGTGCGACCAGGCTACCATTTAGCAAGTGGTTGCTTCTAATACTAATGCTTTATTTTAATTTTTCTAAATGTTTTGTAAGAATTTTCGTGTATAGAAAAATACTTACTTTTTCTAAAATAACTGAAAGAATACTACAAAATATATTAACTTTTTTATGTATTGAATTAAAAAATATTTTATTGCACATTATTAAAATAACAAATAGAACTTTAAAGATCTAGAACGCAATTAAAAAATGATTATTACATAGACAGTTTCAGCATCTTCAATGCTTTCAATGCAAGACCAACTGTGCCGCTATTGATGTAGTATTCGGGAAAAGGCTATGTTTCGCCCTCTTGAGTTTAAAATAACTATTTTTACTTTTAAAGAAGTATTATTAGTAAATAATTGTTTATTTTTCGTTGGAAATTCATAATCAAAATCGTTGTTCTTTAAATTCTACAATGTTACTATTACATTTAATTAAATTTTCTACTTTGATACACTATAAAATTTTTCTTTTTGCTTAAATTAAATATCTCATATATTTAAGTTGTTCCTTGTAACATTTATTACAATGTTTGAAATGCAGAATTATTAGAAATATCAGTTATAAAACGAATTTTTTTTTAATATTAATAGTTGACAGAAATTCCTAATGTAAATAAAAATTCTTAAAACAATTGGTTATTATGGACACTAATCTAACTACTAGTATTTATAGAGATCACGAATGAATATCAATGGTATTACAGACTCTCGAGAAAAAATTGTCATGTATCATATTTTGAGTAGAAACTGAAGAAGAAAAATTAGATTAATATCTACCTAGTGTTGGAAAATGGAATACTATAAGCGATATTGAATTATTTTATAACTAAAAGGAATTTTTTCCATATCATAATTTCTGCAATGTTTCAAAAATACATAAAAAACAAGAGTAATGTTACTATAGTATACTATTCTAATCTTAAATCTNAACAAGAGTAATGTTACAATAGTATACTATTCTAATCCTAAATCCTGTTCTGGTTCTCTCATTATATTCAACTTACCTACATAATTACAAGAAATAATTATCAAGTTCACAAAAATCACTTTTTTATTTTTTTCGAGAAAATGTAGTTAAACCATTTCTTAAAAATCCGATGGAAAAATTTAATTAAATTTTACATAAAGTCCACATGGTTTAGACAATTGGGGTTTTCCTTTTCTTAGAAAATTTATGATAATACGGCTGTTTAAAAGCAACTCCCTTTGACTGGATTTTTCACGAATTATTTGATTGTAGACAAAAGAATTGTATTTAAATTATTTTATAAATCAATTTTTTACATAATCACAAAATATTAAATTGAAATTTTAATGAAATAATCTACTAATACATAGCACTTTATTATTCAATTAAAGCTGTTCCATACATGTTACTAAGAAAAATAAACAAGCAATTTTTGTACGTTTCCAAATATTTAAAAAAAAATATTTAATTAAGTTTTCTGTTAATAGTTTCTATGGATAAAATTTTTTATTTGTAAATTAGCAAACATTTTTACTCTCAGGTTAACTTTGAGAATTTTTTGACTTTAACATTATCATCAATTTTTTTAATTATTCTCAAAACTAACGTCGTTGACATTTTCAAGTTTTAATTATTGAAATTATTTGTAACGATGAAAACGAAGACGCAAAAATTGTTTACCCAACTCAAAAAATTGCGTGGAAAACCTACAATTCCGTTTAAGAAACAGGCTCCTGTCAATAAAAAAAAGTGCTTGAGTGACAATCCTAAAATTGAATTCAATATTAAAACTACAGCAAAAGACATGCCTAAGCGTTCGTACCGCAAATCTACTCGATCCATAGCAGTTCCAGTAGAAAACTATGAACCGTTCGCCAAAGAAATAATAGAAAAAATTGACCGATCACGTGCATCTTATTGGAAGGACCCTCACGAAATACTCGTAGAACTGTTTTCAACACAATTTGACGAATCATCTACGAAAACAAAAGTCGAACATGACGATGAGACTTATGTAGTTGAACGTCAAAAAAGTATGAAATAAAATTTTTTAATCATCGACTATATTTGTTATTTTTTACAATAATAGTCATGCTTAATTTGTTAATATTTATCAGGTTACGAAAATATGGATATACATCCTACTAATTCGGTTAAGTCGACTGAACTATGTAATAGTTCACAATCGTTGAAAAGGGCAAATACATTTGATGGATATGAGCCATCGAAGAGGTGTAAATACTCAAGCTGCGTAGAGTTTCACTCGAGTAAATACAAAGAAAATAGAGTAGTGTTGAAAATAAGGGCCACATCTTCATCATCTGATTCAGATGACGAATCGAAAAATAAAGACGATTCAGAAACTGACTATGATTGCGATGGTAAAAAATTGATTTATACACTTTAATGAAAACATTCATAATAATAATTTTTTAATTCGCATTTTATTTCTTAAAATTCAACAGGACTTTTCTCTAACACAACACGGTCTACAGACGCTCTCGACGCATGTAAATCATCGAATAGACTCAAATACTCGAGTAGCGTTGAGATTTACTTGGCCCAACCTGATGAATTGGAAGACAGAATAGTCTTAAAGATTTCAAAAATAAATTCTTCGGACGATTCTGATTCTGAATCTGATTCTTCTTCTTGTTCAAGTTCTGATTCTAGTAATGATTCTGATTCAAGTTCAAGTTCTGATTCTAGTAGTGATTCTTCTTCAAGTTCTGATTCTAGTAGTGATTCTGGTTCAAGTTCTGATTCTAGTAGTGATTCTTCTTCAAGTTCTGATTCTAGTAGTGATTCTGGTTCTAGTTCTGATTCTAGCTCCGATTCTAGCTCTGATTCTAGTTCTGATTCTGATTCTAAAGAACATTCAGAACACGACTAAAATTTTAATAGTTTAAAATTATTTTATAATCCATCAAACAGTGTCGAAGAACATTTTTAATTAAGTTACCTCCCCAAGTTATTTCATGTAATCAAATTTGTTAAATTTTTAAAACTTTATGTCCCTTTTATCATCCCTATTAAAATCATTAAATTATCTTTATTTTATATTTTGTTTTTATACAAAGAAAAAAATACGAACTGTACACATTTCGTTTCTTGCCTTTTACCTAATTTATTTTATTGTTATACATTTTTTTTTCTTACATTTGTTTTTATTTCTCTAAAAATTTTTTGTTACTATATTTGTTTTTAATAAATTTATATGTTTATGAGAAGTTTTTTTGTTTTAAAAACTGGTATGACTAGAAAAAAAAAGAAGTATTATTTTAGTCTATTGTTAAAATGCTAATTATCAAACCAATATATTGAATTAATTTTACAAAGTAGGTTAGTTTTAATAAAACCTACCTTAAAAGAGCATGTTTTGATATTGTACTCATAATGGGATGTGCGATCGAGAATTAATGCTCGTCTGTCGAAATGTTGGCTATTGGTCACGGTCTCTAAGGTAAAATACAGTTTGCATGGGCGGTCTCGAGCAGGCTACTAACATATGCCCCCTCTCCCCTCAAAAAAAACGTAATATGTTCTTTTAAATAGAATTAATGCAATTTTAAAACAACTCATTTTTATGTCTTGCATGATTATAAAAAATACAGAAATATTTTTTCATTATTAAATCAATTATTTTAGATCAAATTTTTTTTGTGACTTAATACACCTTCTTTATATTACTGTATCCATTGTTCTCTTATAATAATTTGAGATCTTAGAAAATACACACTTTTTAACTAAAAAGTCAAAACTATCATAGTTATGAAACGTAAGTGACCAAATTATTGTCTAAATCTTTTAATAGTATCACTAGAACTTTAAATTAAATTGTGTATCATTAAATTTTTATAAAGACTAATTTTTTGTTTTTATGTTACATAACATACTAGTTATCAATGATTGTTTATTAGATATGCCTATAAAAATGCAGAATACTTTTTGAATAGACCTCAAATTTCGATATTTAGGTTTGTATGCACAAACATATAATGTCTTCTATAGAATATGGCGTTAACACGAACAAGACAATTCCATTAAACGCCTGGTTGTGTATGAAACTTGGCGCACTTCTACAAGTTGTAATAGAGGTTTTTAATTACACGTGTGCTTCCAGATGGCGTCCTTTTCAACTATACGTCAAAAGAACAGAAATCATATCTGGTTGAAGTCATTGCCCTTAAAAATTACCTTATTTCCTGTAAATGAGGAAAATTCCACAAAAAATTTGATTTTTAATATAAGTAAATTTTGACATTTTTAGCTTCGATGCGAAGCTGAGAAGGTATTGGTTTTACTATGATGTGTTTTTTATTTTTTGTGTCTGTTACCACTTTTTTTCAGCTCTCACCGAACGGATTTCTTTCAACGATACGTCAAAAGATCACAAATCGTATATAGTCGAAGACATTACCCTTAAAAATTTTAAAAAATTCCCTCGCTCCCCGTAAATGGGGGAAACCTTCAAAAAAATTACAAATTTAAAAATCGCTGATTTTCGAAATTTTTTCAATTTTTTTACTAAAATATGCCGTAACTTTTTCAAAACTGAACATATCAATATAATTATATAANGTTGAAATACATATATATTGTATATCATATATAGTAATTAGTATAATATAATATTCTTAAATCTATAATACGGACATGTTTTTGGTTATTTTGTTTAATCCGGACTTTCATTAAATCAGACAACCTAGAGCCCTTATTAGTCCGGATTAATGAGGTTCTTCTGTACTCATAAAAATACTTTACAATATGACTTCTTCAAATATTTACTGAAAACCAAAAATTTAGACTTATGGACTTTTACGATTTTTACATCTTTTACAACAAAAAAAGTGAATGTAATACTGCCATATTTTGAAATGTGACTATATTGAGTACAAAAATTGATTTTAAAATAGACATACACTTAAATACGGCAGTATTGAATTTAAACTATGTATGTGCCATAAGTCGAATTATGACAGTGTTACATTTTAAATTAATAAGTCTGCCCGCAATAAATTGAAATAAGGCAGGCATTAAATGGATAAATATAAAAATGTATACTATCATAAAGTAAAAAATGTTTATGTATTACTTTGCTTTGAAAATTATCTATAAATTATTAATTATTATATAATTAATAGAATATTTCAATACTATCATAACTTAAAATTGACAAATTTCCAGTTGTTGTAGAATTGTTCTAGATGTGCGATTTTTCATTTTATGACCGTTTAGTTTGGGTCAATTCGGATGATTAGAATCCATAAACGTAAATACATATGTTAAGTACATATACTGCGAAAAACGATTCTAAATTTCCACTTACGGCACTACTTTAAAAAAAATCAAATCGTAAAGGAGCCATTTTCAAAAAGAAATTAAAAATGTATGTACGTTACTAAAGGTCCTTTTTTTTAATATTAAATATTTTACATATTAGATTAAATATTTTATATAAATATAAAATTTAAAAAAAAAACCTAAGGCTGAAAATCACTTAAAATTTAAAAGTTGAAGTTTTATAACTTGAGAAGAAAAAAACAATTTGTTTACATATTCAAGTTACTGTTTTTACGTTGTATGTACTGATTATGATTAAATTACTATTATAAAACCAAGTATTCGTATATGAATCATTTTTATCAAAAACAGACATTTTTTTCAAAGTAACAATATAAATTATATTTAACGTCAATAAATACAATATTTTATTTAATCACAATAAAAACATAGTGCGAACAAATATGTATTATCTATAATAAAAACATGTAAGTTCTATTATGAATTTGAACAATAGAATCATTTTATTTGTAGATAAAAATAAAATATATTTGAAAAACTAAAAATAAAACGTAATGGAAACAAACAATAGAATTATATCAAATTTTACATAAAATAAAAACAGCTTGAAGTTAATTTTTTTTAATTGTTCAGAAAAACTAATATATATTCTAAACGCTATTAAAATGTAGTCAGAATGAATTAAAAAAATAAATATTCTAGTATTATTTTGAATGCGGATAAATGATAAAATATATTTATATTGTTTTATTGTCATTTATTTTTATATTCAACTAATTAGTATTAGTAAAATAGTCCATTAATAAAACATCTCACAATAGGTAATGTTCATATAAAAGTTAAACATGGTATTTAAATGAATTTCATATTTTTGATACAAATTGAAAAAAATTATTTTCCTTTCATTTATTTCTATATTAAGTTATCGTTTATAGTTTTCCCTATAGTTCTCCTTTTAATTTCCAAATTCAAATCCAAATTCGTTGGCCAACCAATAGTTTACCCGACGGTTGTCTTAGAGATATAAGCTACTTTAAATATAATTGTACGTACGTACGAGACAGTTTTAATAACAAACCATGTCCTTATTTTTATAATAGTTCCAATTAAACACCAATACTTATCAATAAAAAAATATAAATACTCATTAATAGATAAGATACAAGTGTAGTAATACACAAAAATAAAGTCGTAAAAAATTATATTGCCTTTTCTCCATTACTTATTCACAATTCACACTATACAATAGTTTACAATATTTCTTCTTTTAAATTTACTCTCAACAACCTTTGCATTGTTTTAATGTTTATAAAATCTTATCAAAATTTTGAAAAATTAATTATTTTATTTTTAATGAATTCTATGGAAAATGTATATTTTGAAAGAAGAAAACTCAAAGTACAAATAATTGTTTTCACCTAAATAAATTTAACATAATTGAATTCATTATAATTGAAATAAATTGATTAAGTTGATACATTAGCGAGTTCGTATCATAAATATTGGCAGTTAAATGCTTTCATATGTTTATTATTATAATATTAAGGTTTTAGTTGAAAATGCTGTAAAATTTTGCTGTGTAGAAAATGTACGTCAGGTAAGTTTAAAAACATATGGGCGATAGTAAATCATTAAGATAATTTTAAATACAACAAATAAATAAAATAATATCTAGGAAATTATTAACTAAAATAAATACATTAAATACTTTGCATGTACAAACTTAACGTGATGTAATTCATCTCTACAGGCAGTATGGGAACTTTTGATTTATAAAATAAAGATAAAATGAACACAACATTACATTACGAAATGTTCAATTATAATATTTTAAATAAATATTTATTACAAATCAAATAATCTACACAATATAAATAGTTTTAAACGGACGCTTCATCAATGACAGTTATCAGCCTATTGTTAGGACCAGCCACTAACCGCCATTTACCACCCTTCGGAGTCTCTTCTTCGGCTTGTTTGGCAAGTGACCATCGTCGTCCTTTCCGGTCCATTATAACTGGCATTTCGGCAATCAAATTATTTTCGAACTCGCTTAGCATTAAGTAGTTCTCCACCTTATTGCAGGACGTTATACAATCTCCAATGTAGTCGAGATCATCGAGTAGATTGTCTGGTAAATCCATATCTGCGATGCCCTCTTCAGATATGCAAGTGAGTTCTGGTTTGTCGGTAGGACCAATGACGCCTGGTGTAAGTAGTCCCATACCTACGATGTTGCCTTGTATATTTAGCGGAGGTTCAACAACAACTACTTCTTCCGGTTCAACAGTAAACGATAATTTACGTCGTTGAGGACATGAAGTGGACACACATAACTGTTTTGTTCCAGATTCATTATGTTTGTGACGAGCAACGTTTCTCCTATGCAAATCGATGAAAAACATAGTCAAGCTTCCGAGTAGTACGCAAGCTGAACTAAAATAGTAGCCGGTCTTACCGCCAAAACCAATGTTAATGTAACCTGTAAGAAATATTGAAAAATCATTAATATAATTTCATCAAGACATAAATCATAATGTTCATTTTAATAAGGTTGTAAATTAAAACGATATTTACATGATTATTAAGTCTTTATATTTTAATATTGGTTATATATATATAATTATATTATTTTATAATCATTTTCAGTGTTACCAATTGTGAAAAATTAAAAATTATAAAGAAGAATTAATGCAATATTTACCCGATATGGGCACACCCAACGCAATTGGTATAGCTTGCGAGCACTGAACAAATCCCCAAGTCCTTGCAAAATTTCTGGCTCTGACTCGTTCATATGTGTACATCTTCAGTGAATAATGATAACCACCACAGAACATACCGTATACCCACGCGAACATAATATACCCTTGTCGATCCCCGTTAACTGTTGTTAACGCGAGTATGGAGATCCCACACATGAATACAGACGCTTGACATAGGTATTGTCTGGCAATGCGACACTCCACTGAATTCCTCACTACAATAAGACCGAAAGCAATGCATCCAATGGTCCATGCCAGTCCCATGTGCACTTGCAACATCAGTGCTGAGTCGGGAAACCCGTCTTCTTCAGCTTGATGAGCCTAAAATCATTGTTTGAGATGTTTTTAAATATGTCTATTTTTGGAAATTTAGTGTAATATATCGTTCTGCTAACAAGAAAAAAAATCAATTCAATTTACTCTGTAATAGGTTTTATTTTATTAGGCGTTGAAAACACGCATTTTAGTCCAACCGCGCATTTAAGTATTTCAAACGTCATAAAATGTGTAAAAAGTTTATAGACATAAATTCAATAAAAAAAAAACAACAATTTAATGTCTTCAACTATAAAAGAAACGAATTTATCCATCAAACGTTTGTTATTTTTCAAAAATGTTTTAAATAAAAAATTATTCTAGTTTTTCATACATCAATTAATATATAGAATGATATTATTTTAAAGAGTTTAATGTCTGAAATTAGATAATAATATAAAAGAAATAGTTTTTTTAATTTTGTCACGCTATAGTTGCGATAGTTTGAAGTTCTTAAAACAAAATTCGTTTTAAAAATGTAAAAAAAAATATAAGTTATTAATGAGGAAGCGTGGAATTATTATCAAACTGTATAAAACAGAAAAAATAAAAGCTTACTAAATAAAATATCGGCGTATTGATTCCAAAGGCACTGATGCCCGTAGACACTAGTAAAATTTGCACTGTTTTGCTCCGGAGCGTAGAGAAGTCTAAAAATGGCGGTCGATCGTCGTGTCTGTTTTTGTCTTTGATTTTACGTTTTTGATTTTTTAAATGAAGTATGGCTCGTCTTTGAGGATGATACAATGAAGCAGACCTGTAGCAGGTTCCTAATAAAAATGTGGTGAATACAGTAGCAGTAATCAGTTGTAATCCTAATCTCCACCCGATAGAGCTAAAAATTAAATATATTAAAGATAAGAATGGGTACTTCATTATAATGATCGTAAGATGTATTGACGTGCATATACCTAATAGCTCCTTTAATGAAACTAGACATGACAGCAATGCCTATTCCACTGCCTGAAACGATAAATATCTCAACGAATTCCCGCTTCCGTTTAAAATACTGAGCTACCATCAAAGTAGAACAATCTCTTGTCATACCCACACCAATTCCTGCAAGTAAATAAAATGTACAATTATTCTTGTACATATTTCTTGTCACGGCTTTAAATGTCAACAGCAATTAACTTTCGATGTCGTATATATATCATGATGTATGAAATCTTACTGTATAAAATGCTTTCATTAATTTATTTCAAGAGCGTATAAATTATTAAATACTTCTTATTAACGCAATTAATTATATGGCTATAACTTTTGAAATTCAAAACTTCCAACTTTTGATAGATTTGTGTAAAAACCAAAGCTTTATTTCATTTAATTTTTATATCTTATGAAATATATTTTTTGAATAAATTAATTGAACATTACTTTTTTATTGTTTTATTTTTAAAAGATAATAATTATTAAATATTTAAATCAATTAAAATATTTAATGTTGAGAATTTTGAAACTCTAATAAATGCTTTATCATTGGAAAAATGTAAGCTTTGAGATGTATAGTTTTTTAAATGTTGTACTCAGTTTCATACCGCTATAAATTATAATAATTAATTTTATTTGAACAATTAATTTAGTAAAACTGTTTATTTAATAACAAAGTTACAGTAAAAAAATATATATAAGCCTTATTGCCTTAGTTTAAATTTGTCTCTTTCAATATCTATGATATATGGTTTTTAAAATTTAATCATTTTATTTAGTGATATTGTTATCCACAATATTAAACAAATGAATTTCCCATGTGTCCTATTTATTATGTTACGTACAGACGCCGTCATACCTTTTCCTATTTAAATGTCATTTAAGATAAAATGTCTCGATTAAGGTCTGCTTTACACTTTAATTATTGAATTACTTTTATTTGTCATGTTATTTGTTTTATAAAGTATTACATGAATGATAAAATTATTTTGTTTAATTATCAGATAAACTTATTATGCCTTCAACATTTTAATTGTTTATTTTTGATAAAAACTCAAATAATTTGATTCGTTTGTCATGTAAATTTTTTTTTTTTTAAGATTTTCTGCGTTTAAACATTAAACTGAATATAATACCAAAAAAAAAAAAAAGAATAGTTTCACTTGATTATATAAGAGAAGTCATTTAAACTTACAATGAATTCAAATTTAAAATAATATTATAATTAAGAGTTATTGACATAAATATTTTATTTAGGTCTTTGTTTGGTATAAGTAACTTCGGTTTTTTAAGTAAAATATTGTTATACAAGAGATACTATTACATTGAAATTTCGATTCAATTTTATTATCTTTTGATAATACAAATGTATTTATCAGTATGATAGTTATGTTACATGACTCATGCATCAATAAAAAATATTATATAGTGTTCAGTAAGTTAGAAAACGGTTTTCTATTGTTCTCATTACTTGTAATAATTGACCTGTTTCCTTACTTTCAGAACACTCCGTATAATTTTCTAAACTTTGATGTTTTTCAACTGATATCAATATGTAAGTTATAATTTTTTTTATTTAAATACGTATATTAAAATTTGTGTTACATTTAAGTTATTGATAGGTTTATCAATTGTGTTGTTAATAAACTTTTATAAAATATTACTTATTTTATGGCGATTTTAAATTTGCCAATTTAGCTTTTACACGAGAATTTTATTTAAATTAGTCGCAGTTAAATAATGCAAATCAAGAGTATTCGTGTCATTATTCTACGATGTCTATAACTAGACTTGAACGTGGCACTGCATTGCAATTTTATGTAGATCATAAAGCTTGTTCTAGCCAGAAATTATACTTAAATAGAAGCCATCATAAGTATTTTATTTGACTATAAAGTAAATAAATTGCCATTCAAAATACTATTAATCCCATTTTATACATTATAAGGACTTATTAAGCTAGTTTTATTTTATAAGACTTAGGTTGTCTAATAACTACAAGAATTGGATCAATTTATAAATATCATATGATATTTAACTACATAAACATAAAAAATTTAATATCTTCGTAAGTAACAGTGAACAAAAAAATATTTTAAGCAAATGTACGAAAATATTATTTTGTGTTCTATTACTAAAAAACGTTTTTAAACGAAGCATTAAAAAAGTTATTCATCTATTCGAATACCGGAGATACTTTTGACTCTTTATGCTACACAAATAATCAGATAACATCTTTCAATTGGCACGAGTAAAAACATTTTTTCTAGAATAAAAAAAGGGTATCATTCATTCACTTGAACTAAAAAGTTTCGGCGAGCCCAGAAAAACAATCATAGCATTTCGATTGAAGTTTATAGAAAACTCGCTTGAAAGTTTTATTCGCATCTTGATTATGTCATGATAAAATAAAAAATAAGTTTAAGCTAGTTAATTTTCATTGGTTATACATATTTAATTTATAGTATTTTTGTATCAAATATATTTTCTAAAAAAATTAATATACTTTAAGGAATATATATTATGATTTTACTTTGTATAAATTATATAATTTTTATGAGCTATTTTAGTAATTATTAATAATTTAAAAAACTAAAAATAAATTTTTTATTATCAGCATGTTTACAATTTAGATGGTTATATAAATATAATCAAGTAATGTCATAACATCGCACGTTAATGAAAACTAAAATAAGCACAATATTGAATAAACTAAAAATAACAAATTTTCAGAAGAATAAAAGTTAATTGAAGGATATTTAATTATTTGTGCAAGTCTAAATTTATTATTAATGTTATTTGTATGTGATTTTAATTAAAATTTAGGATTAATATTTTACTCTACACAAATAAAAATTAAACCGGAAATTTTAGTCATTATTTAACAAACAGCAAATAAATTACAGATCATAAATCTTATTTTTTAAATTATATATTATACTTAATTGTTCGCTCCTAGTATTTTTTAATATTTATCTATTAAATAAATAAAAATTTCATATAAAACATTTTTGAGAAGTAAATTTTTCATTTTCTTAGAATAGAGTACTAAATACGAGATTATTTATAGCAATAAAAATATTAATATATTTATTCAATGATAATTCGTATTTCTTAATGTATAAAATAAAAACGGTATATGTTATTATTAAATATTTAGATTTTATTTTTCATTCTTGATTTATAAATCTAAGTGTATTTCAGATTTGGATTTATAAAATATTTTGTCATGAAATCACTGTCGTAATTTATAGCTATAAAAAAATTTCAACACTGTACCTTAGAGATTTATATTATATACAAGCCTCATAGAGAAATAGTCAAAAAGAATTGTACATACCGATTACAGTTCCATAACTAAAGAATAGTTGGTGAAATTGAGTGGCAAAACTGGTGAAGAGGCATCCTAGAGCTGTGATTAGGCCTCCCATGACGGCCGTCAGTCTTGTAGATTTCCGCCGGCAAAAGGCAATTGTTACCGGCGACAGCAATAAGGCCACTCCTGTTGACATAGCTCCCAGCCATCCTGTACACAAGTTAAGTTCATTAGTACCATAATTAGGGGAGACTGGGGGAACTACGGTCACCTTAGCAAAAATGTTTATATCTCTGGTTCTAAGACTTTAAATGTTATTATGTTATTACAACAAATGGATGCATAAACATATTGACTGCATTATGTCAAAGTCTCAGATTTTTAATACATAATCTTATATATATAAATATATAATAATTTTCTTAGCTTAAATTAAATTTCTTAAACAATTTTTTTCAGATAAACGCTGAAAACTATTTTCAAATATTTAAACGTGAAAACGTATTTTGATAATATCGTTCTAATGAGAATAAGGTTTTTTTTATCATTCTTAACCTATACATATAGTCATCATAATTTTAGATGCATGGATTTATTAGATAATGAGTTGACCGCCGGTATTACCCACTGACTACAGTTCCCCCATCACCTCTACCATGAATGTTATATAAATTCAACAACTACTATTATAAACATGTTTATGAACCCTAATATATATGCAATTGTAAAATTTAAAGCATAAAATCGTTTGCATTGAAATAGGAAATGATAAAAATCACGAGAATAATTTATAATTAAAACAAATTTTATTAATCATTTGCATTTAGTTAGTTTTTTATAATGTTAAATATAATTGTTAATCGGGTTGAGTTCTTCAACGGGTTTTTTTATTTAGATTAGCCACAAAAATTTGCCTAATAAATACTATTCTTAATTAAGTATCAATTTAAATACGACATGTAACAATAATGTGTTTACCATAATAATAGTTTATTAACATGTATAAATTGACCAACGTTCGAAATTGTCATATTGTTAGTTTTTCGTGTGGTTATTATAAATTATTAATATTTTACTCAATGATTACTGGTTTTTAATTAATTTTTTTTTATTTTTATACGAATCATCATAAAAATAAATAAATTCTGAATAACTTATGCACAATATTTTAATATGCCTTAGAAAAATAACTATCAGCTTTGTGTTGTAAGATTGTTCAACTGAATAATTTCATTTTGTACAGAAGGAATGATATTTTTAATCTTAAAGTAAATTTACACCGTGGAGATTGTAAGTATTTTTACCTTGATTATTAGTATTAAATAATAGAAAACTCGACGAGAGAATTTTTTTAATATTGTTACTCACAGTAAAAATTTAAATTTGATATAGATTTGAAAGACACAGTATTTCATTAATTGTAACCAAAATATTAACAATAATTTTTTTTATTCGCAACACGAAAATATACATAAAAACCTTCATAAGTATAAGGAAAATTAAGTAAAAACCAAAATAGAAAAATAAAATACATGAGTGCCTAATAATTATTTCAGAAAAAAAAATTAAATCGTAATAAGTGAAATATTCAATCAGGAAAATAAAAATATAAATTATACAGGAAAAAATGTTCAAATTACACTTTTCATAAGTGGGGATAGATTCAATGGATACTTTTTAACGAAAAAGAACCTCTTTTAATTTGGTTCATAAGCAATTCTCTATTACTAAGTTGCTTGTCTTCGAATCTGGAATGTGTATTTTTAATAACATTGGTATTAACAGATTTGCTTGTAATACCGTTCTTTTGATCATTGTTAACCTTAGATTCAGTATAAGCCTTTTTGTTTTCATTTTCTTTAATAATAATATGAATTTGTTCAAAAAATTTATGGAGTATAGAGAAACATTCTTCCACGTTAAAAGATTTCGTGTCCTCGCCAAAATGAGAAGCTAAACTTGTTATACCAACCTTCGTTGTTTTAAAATTATCATTAAGCACATCAATGTCCTTATCTGCTTGACAGATAAACTCTATTAGATGTTTTTTAATAACTTGAGAATAGTTCTCTTGTGCCAGTTTAGATTTAAAGTTTTTTATCTGGCGAGAACGATTACGAAGCTCAACTTCCAAATGTTCAAATGAAGTTTTTGACAATTTGTTCAATGGCGAACACAAACTCAAAAAACTAAAAGAATTATTTGTACATTTTTCAGCCATTTCTACAGCCAAGTGAACGAAGGTAACGTTTGGCTTGTTAGATCGAGTACCTATCAGTTTAGGCAGAGTACCCAACGTGAAACCGTTTGCTTCACCAGCATAACTTCCCTAACATAATCATGTTTTAATTAATAACTTATTTATTTAATTTTTCAGCATATAATACAATATTACATATTTTTTAATTTTTAATTTTATAGTTTCAATTAATAATAATTAATCTATAAGCGTAAATAATAAAATATATTAACGAGAAAATATTAAACAACTTTGTGTATACTAATAAACTGGTGTATTTTTTTTTTATATATGCCATTTGAGTATAAAATTAATACAACATACTAATGCGTATTGATTTCATACTTAAATGATTCTTATTATAGAGACATAAAAATATCATTCACACTTACTGCGTTCAATTTATTGCCTAAATGTAATACAACGGACAAAAATTGTGTCAACGATTTGTCATTAATTATAGTGGAACAGGTTTGTTGATAATTTTTTAATGTCTCAAGAGATTCCGAATATATGAAAGGCCACTCTTCTTTTAACATCGAAAGGTCGATCTTCCATTGATAACACGGAATTTCGTTAAGCTTCACACAAAACTGTTCCGCCTTGCCAAGTGTCATAATGTCTCCGCTAAATTTTTCAATAGCCTTTAAGTCAGCGCTTATGGGCAATATTCTTTTTACCGCTTCTAATTTTTCAATAGCAATCATAGTTCCATCCTCTAAACACTTGAAAAACTCTTCAGGCTTTGATTTTAATTGTTTTAACATTATGTTAATCGCGAGACTTCTCTTAGAGTCTAAAATGTTGGTCGCAGTAGATTTAAGTTTATCGTCTTGAATAGGCGATTTATAAGAACGCGGTTTTTCACCAAACAACTCCACAATATCTTGACAATCAATTGCAAGATGCAAAGGTTCCAACGTCGACCACAAAGAATTTTCAATATTTTGGTTGTTAACTTTAGTCCAGTTGATTGTTTTCGTTTTAACGATCGTGGGTTTGATTGAGGATGTGCGACAAGTAGATGGACATCCTGATATAATTGGGGGAGGTGTTGATATAGAGGTCGGTAACGGTGGAGGAGACATTATTGGCACAGGAGCTAGGGCATGATGTTCTGTGTTGACTGATGGAAGTGGTGGTGAGCTAATTTTCGACGTACAAGTCGACGGTAATGTGTGACACGAATTCAAAGTGAGTTTTTCTCCGGACAATTGATTTTCGTGATCCTCTGGCAACGATACTGGTTCTAACTTTTTTAATGTAAGTTTTTTTCGCCCGACTGATTTACTTACTTGAGAATTTTGTAGAGGATCTGGCGAAGCTTCCAAAAACACGTATACAAAAATGAAAGCTTTAATGTACACATTCGAAGTACAAAAATATACTACGAACGATAATACTAATAAATAGAAATGGTCTTTTGGAATCAACATTTTCACACAGACAAAGTGTTGTAACCTTTTAAGTTCCACAGATGATGAATTGAAATATATTCAGAAAAAATTTTATAGTCAAAAACACAGAGATTTTGTCTTAAACGTTAAAACTTACGAATTTTTCAACTCAAGTGACGATAAAATCTTTTGTTTATTACGTCGTTGCATGAATTATCGTTTCCATAGTAAATATTTTGACCAGTATAAATTAAATATAATAAAAATTAGTTATGTATGATGAAACATATACAATTTAGTAAAAAATTTTTATTGTAAAGGATTTTTTTTTTTTTACAAACATAAGAGTATTTAATTTGATTAATTAGCCAATAAATTTTATGTTTCTTCAAAAATTGAAAATTTATTATCATAAGCATATCTTAAATATATTGCAGTTTATTTTGAGTAATTTTGAACTCTATTAAAATAAATACATCAAAAGTGAATATTGTATAGCAAAATTACAACAATAAATAAAATAAAATGAATATGAAACTGTTTAGTGAAAAATCTATTAGAAGTTTCTTGAAATATTCTAATGTTTTATACAATAATTTTTATTTTTCTTAAGTTATGATTATAAAGAACATAGTATTAATGCTAAATATTTAAATTATTTTTTTTGTTTTAGTATTAAATGCACGCAAAACATAAATATTAGCATTTAGTATTTTAAGTAGTGATGGGAATTATCGAATAGTAAGACTATCGAACTATTCGATAGTCATTCAAAAAATATTTGAATAGTAAAAATATTTGATAATTACACAATATATTCGAATAGTTCATGCTAAAAATAAACTATTCGGTTGTATGTATAAACATAATTCAAAAATTCCCATCATTAATTTTAAGATTAGTATTTTTTGACTTCTTTCAGTTCTGTGCGTTGAATAGTGGTGGCTGACAGGGTTTTAACCCCTTCTCCTTTTTCGTTTAATTATTACTATAAAGTGTGAATAATTTTAGTGCCAGTGTTAGTCATTGATAACCTATTAAGGCCATCTATTGAAAAAAGTAATCTCCGCATTAAAAATTTAACCAGAAGTCTCCAAGCTTAGAGTTACAAACTAGCACAAAATAATTATAGTAATTAATAATTATAGAAATAAAAACGAATTGTTTAAATGCTAATCTTTATAATAAGAGGAAAATAAATAAGTTAGTATTTATATCACGTGTGATTTATTTATAATTTGCGGAAGTTTCATTTTCATATTAGATGTACATGAGGGTGGCCAGTTATAATATATACCCTCAAACTAGAATAAAGTGGCTTATAGTAAAACAAGGACTATTGCTCATCTATTTTAAAAAATGACATACTTTTATTTTATGTTATTTGATACTATCATCTAGCGATCTCAATAATAAATGTATTACTGATAATAATAAATGTATGATGATGATTTGCCAAAATGAAATTAATAAGTCTGTGATATAATAGTAAAAATCGATATAGTTCATATAGAGTTTTTAATAGTAAACAGATCGTTGTGAAAAAATGGTACTGTGATTTGCATTTTATTGGG